GTTTTTCCGGATTTCTCTCAGAGCTATGGATCCATGCGAGGCTGCGTATTCGTTGAGTCCATGGATGGAGCATTTCTTAATTTCTTGTCTATTTGGATGCTCCTTCAGTGCACTTCCCTTATCTCTTCAGAGCGTCTTGAGACTGGATTTCTAAAGAAATTCTGTACCTCATCAGCAAGCCTAGTTTGGCTGGTACATATGTACTGACTGTGTAGAAGACACTGTGCTGCAGGGGAAACAGATAACAAGGTATGGCCAATGATCTCAAGAAATTTAGTGTAATGGGGCAGACATTTGAGGGAAAAACAAAGTAGATCACATTAAGGTCACGAAGACAGGGTTGGAAAATTTCAGAAAAATAGCTCTTATGTTGTTTGAGAAACCTTGGAAGGATTTACAGAAGAGGGAAATATTTGAGCTGAAGCAAGAGGCAAGACGTCTAAATTGCCGTTTTTACCACTTACTGATAGCAAGGTGGCTGCCGCCCAGGCAACCAGGGAGTGGAGTGCTTCGTCATCAAAACCATGGCCAGCTTTGGAATCCGACTGCAGCTCTACCCCTGAGCATGCCATTGTGTACAGCAAGAGATCTCAAAGTTTTACTTCACTACACTTCTGGGATTGCAAAACCCCCTGAAACTTCAGAGATGCAGAATGTATACATTCAACCTAGGCATCTAGAACAGAGCTGTCCAATTCCATTTTCTGGGACGACTGAAATTTCCTTCCTTGAACGGTCCGACACTGGAGCCACGAGGCATGTGTGGCTGTGAGGGAATAAAACTTAATTAAAATTTGTGTTTTAATACCTGTGGTGGCTTGCAACCACCATATTGGTCTGTGCAGGTCAAGAACCTTCGGGTGTTCTTAGTGAACTAATCACAAAATTATGTGATGATGTTGGTCCAGGATTTATTGCTAAGTTCAGAAAGTTAGATTTATAGAATCATGTAGTTTTGGGAACATAGGGATCCATCTAAATTGAGATGAGTTTTCACTTTTTTCACCATTTTTGCATATTTGGCGCATGACATTCATTCATGTGATAAAAGAACTATTTATGAGCATTTCTTAAACAGTAGCAGCGTTAAACCTTTCCAAGACCTGTTCCAAGAACATGGAACACCTGAATTTTCCTAAAAATTTCACAACTCATTTTAACAAACATGTAGAGATTAGGGGGAAAAAGTAGGATGCTGGGGAAAAAAATAAAGTAGCTTTTAAAAAAACTGCTTATGAGAAATTTGGGCTGGAAGTGACAGCTGGTATGACTGGACAGCAGTATCAGAGATCCAAGTGTCTTCTTCCTTGTTCTACTGTCCCTGAGGGATCCCCCTCACTACTATTCACACCCTTTTGGCCAGAACTTCGTTAAATGGCCCCACCTAGTTACAATGGTGTCTGGGAAATAGTTATTCTCCCTGCCTCCACTCCCCATCATTGGATGGCAAATGTAACAAACTAAAAATATGGCATTCTCTTACTGAAGGAAGAAGGGGAGAATGGATGTGAAGAGGTAAATAGTAATCTCTGCCAAAGAAAACCCAGAAATATTCTGGATTTCATGGTAATGCAAAATGTCTAGATTACAGTGATGGAACTGGAGACATAAAAGGGAACACGAGCAAATCACTTTTACACATCTTCTTATTCACCAAAAAATTCAAATGAAAAACAAAGTTAGAGGAATTAAGTTGACGCAATTATTTTTCTTTAACAAACTAAATATTTGAAATCCTTTATTTAAAGCAGCAAATAAACAGTGCACTTGTACCCACTAAAAAACCCACTGTAACTGTCAGACACAGAAATCAGGAAGTTTATTAAAAACCTTTCACAACTATTATACTGTTATTGGACAATCATTTAAAATAATATCCTAAATACTTACAAAAATAAATCAAGTATTGCTTCTATTTTTCAAGTGTCAAAGTCTTTGCCATGGAAAATAGAAAGAACTTTTTACAAAGCAAACGTAACGTTGGAGCTACACCAAGTTTAATAACCGCACACTGTTTTCTTTAACGGCTGTGCTTTACAAACTTCCAAACTACTTTGCCATCTACAGGTTCACAATAGGAATGTATGCATATAACCAGACACACACATTTTTACATAGGAATGTTTCGCATTAAATATGCATACGGAGAACCTAACACAGTACCGTTACCTAAAAGCCACCCCACAGAGCCAAATGTGCCAAAATACACAAAGAGGTGTCGCTGTAGAAGCATTATCTAACGCTCAAATTAGCAATCCAGTTACCAAAGGTAATGACATTTTAATGAAGGATACTCAGTTTAGTGTTTCTAGATAAGACATTAATTCTTAATCTATATTAAATCATCAGTTCAATAGCCTTACTCATTGAAAAAATAGAATGAACTTCAAATATTTCTCAATATATTAAGTGATCACTGTCATACATATACACACTTTTTATTTTAAAAAGAGGAATATTCATCTCAGAGCAAATGCTCAAAATTACGGATCATTTTCAAATTGGTCTGTGGTTTAATCTTTTATCACTGAGACATTCAATTCCTTCTCAGACAGAGAAATGCTGGATTTCTCCTCCCTGGCATGTGCACTCAAGCCTCACAACACAGTCATGGATAAATCATGGTTCGTGATGAATATTTGTAATGCTGCGCCACCCACAGGGTGTCAATCTCACTACATTAACCAGATGTGGAAAAGAATCTCACTTCTGATCAGTTCCTGAATTTCCGTATGGTTAATCACAATAATACAGAACTTTACATTACTCTTGTATAAATACCTCTATATTGAGCGTCTTAAATTCCACTTATCAACTAGAAAAGTGATAAATCACAAAATTTTTTCTCTATTAAAAAAAGAATCTAGCCTTCTGTCCTAATTCAGAAATTGCATGAATTATTTAGAAATTCCAAATACAATAATTGAAAATCTATGACTAATTGACTGTGAAAATACTAATTTATTGAAATTGATGTTTTACAATAAATTCCAATAAAAGAGAGCTTGAAGAGCTTGTAAAATCTCAAGTAGTAAAGTAGCTACTACTAAGCAAGTAGTAAACACCAAAGGAGCAGATGTTTTACATTGACCAAATATACCAAAATGCCATAATATCTGGAAAATTTTAATAGCATGCTAAAATATTTTCAAAGGGCTATTTCAGTTCACTAAAAGTTGCAGGCAAGCAGACTCTAAGAATATACAAAAATGCAAACCAACAAAAAAATTGCACCAATAAAAAAACATCAAAATCTAAGAGGTAGTCAACAGAAGTAACCCTGATGAGACAACACATCCCGGGAGCTGCTTCCTAGTCTTAAGAGACCTACCTGCAGTAGGAAATTCGTGTATCGTCGGTGATTAGAAAAAAATGGACCGGTAGAAAATCTAGAAACCAAGTATTTAATTGAGTAATACTGTAAATGGAACAATACTCATATACACAAAGAAAGGCTGACAATAAAATCCAGACCGGGGTCTACTGCAGGCCAAATCTGTCCTATGTCCAATTTTGTAAATAAAATTGTATTGAAACACAAAAATATCCATTTTGCTTATATATATTGTTTATGGTTGCTGCTCTACACCTAGAGCAGAGGCCAGTACTTGGGCCCGATCACATGGCTCAGACATCCACTGATAGGTATGCAGTTGTGAACGGCTGGAAAGGTTAACAATGAACGTCACAACATAAGCTATTCAACTCTAAGGAATGCAAACTGCTCGTTATGTCACAATTCAGTTCCGTTTCATATCTGAAATAGCTCTGACATTTTTCTTCTTTTGTTGTCAAATATCAAAGAGTATTTCAAAGTTACTATAAAAAGGTTTAGTACAGCACCGTCCAACAGAACTTTTTGCAATGATGGACCTTTTTTATATCTGCACTTTCCAATACAGTAGCCACCAGCCACACGTGGCTGCTGAGCATCTGGAAATGTGGCGGATGACCAAGGAACTGAATTTTTCATCTTAATTAGTTTTATTGAAATTGCCACACATGGCTTGTGGCTACGATACTGGACAGCACAGATTTAATTCAACTAAAGTTCTGAAGTGTGACTCTTAAAAGTGGCCCCCCAAATTAGAAAACAACACCTGTGAAAAGATGAGCTTTGGACAGAAGTGCACTGAATACCAAGAACTGAGTCCCAAACAGGTTCCTTAAATTCGTAAACACAAGTCAGGTGGATTCCAGACTGTTTCCTCACTGTACCACCTCCTTGCAGTACATGGAAAAAACTATTATAGTATGTTTTTCAACAAAAGCCCTGATTATCCTATGCTTAAAAGCAATAATTATAATCATACTAAAAACAGGTATACTGTTTCACACAAATTATATTTTTTGCCTTGCTTCCCACCAGAAAAATCACCTTTTGTAAAAGTCCATTCATTCCATACCGTTAGCATGTCAACCATGCTGTACAGAAGCCCTCGTTTACAGCAGGGACACAGAAGAACTGTGAAGTCTCCTGGATCTGCAGAATCTCCAACTAGTCCCTTTTACTATGGCAGAAGTCACTGCAACAGTCCAATCTTCCATTACATGATAAAATAGACCCACCTGATGACAGATTTGAGGATAGAGGTAAAACCTTATATATCTATATATATATCTATATATATATCTCAAGTCAAAAAATATAACTTGTATAGTTCTCCAAGTACCTCAAGACTATTTTTATAACCAAAACAATAAAACGAATATAGATATGTTTTTAACTTACTTACTACTGATTACACATTGTAAATTAACCAAGTTACTGGTAAAACTGAAGACATTAAACTAAAATATACCAAGTCAATATGAACTTACAACACTCTCAGAAGACAACTGTTTGAGATGTGTGCCTAATTACATCTTCCAATTACTCAAGTGTGCTCCCTTAGAGAAACAGCTAATTCTGTATTTTGTTTCCAAAGTCAGCTGACAAAATTCATTTTATGCATACTGATTTTTAAATAGCTGATATCCACTACCATCAATTTCTTTTCCAACCTGGAAGTTAACTGAAGGATATAAACTATTTTAAGGGCACTTCTGTTTATGTTTTCTGTTGTAGTTTAATCGGGTGTGGTAGCAGGAACTTTGACAGAGAGGTTTCTTCTGGTGTTGGTGATGTGCCGCTGCTGTGCCAGGAACGACCGTGCAGGAGCACACGCCCCAGGGTCCTTGCAGGCACCACTGCTGCTCACGAGTCTAGATTCCATCCCTAGTTTCTGGAATGCTAGACTCTGACAAACATAAGCAAACAAATAACAAGACTATTTAGAGTGTGTAAAATGCTTTTCACAAAAATTAAGTCATTTAATCCCCCAAATTCGATAAAGCTACTGTCCTCCTCATTTTATAGAAAAAGTAAAGAGTTCAGAAGCTAATTGACCTGTACATCATCATGCTAGCAAGGAAGAGGAAACGAAGGCATAAAATCCAGTTTCTCTATTTTAACCTACTGAATTTGAAATCATTAAGAAGAGTAGCTTAAAATAATAAGGTTAACTTTAATTATAACAAAAAAGGTTCCATGGTAAGTCTTTGTGTTTGGGCCTTCACTCTACCCACTGTGAGCACACACAGCATAAGAGAAAAACTCAGATCAATGGTTCTCAAATGTGGTCCCCAGAATATCATTTGCACCAATGGGAATTTGTTAAAAATGCAAGTTCTCCCCTGTAGACTCTGGCCAGACCTATTAAATCAGAAGTTCTGCACATGAGTACAACAACTTGTGCTCTAACAGGTCTTCTGATCATGCATCACAGCTGATATTCACTATCACCTATCTACATACTGATGCATGACGAAGGATGGTGATTGTGGACGGTGAGTTTCATAGGAAGAGAAATCATTCCTTTTTCTCACTAGACACACAACATGATTTTACTAAGCTTAGAATCATGAGTAACTAGAGTAATATATAGAAAATAGTAAATGTTCAAAAGACATGGGTAGAAAATGAATAAATAATGTGTTATTTGGCTCAAATATATTTAATAATTTATTTATCAAGAGACTACAGAGGAACAAAGAAAATAATACACCGTTCCCAGTCCCATCTAGGCTGACGGACTCATGACAGAAGGTTCCAGGAACACCTCACCTATAATTTCCTTCACAGCCTTGCTAAATTGGGGCGCCTGGGTGGCTCAGTGGGTTAAAGCCTCTGCCTTCGGCTCAGGTCATGATCTCAGGGTCCTGGGATCGAGCCCCACATTGGGCTCTCTGCTCAGCAGGGAGCCTGCTTCCCTTCCTCTCTCTCTCTGCCTACTTGTGATCTCTGTCAAATAAATAAATAAAATCTTAAAAAAAAAAAAAAAAGAGAATACTGATCCACAGCCTTGCTAAATTAAGCCGGATTTTGCCAAACAGAGAAGGGAAGGAAAGAGCAGACAAAAAGTACAATGGCACAGAAGAGCGGGCATGTTTGAAGCAGGGCACCCAGTTCCGTGTGGTGAAGCACCATGTTCACACACGGATAGAGTTCATAAACTGATATTCTCTCATACTAAACAAGCAGCAGCTAATGTAGATAATGGCTGTGTCCGCTCTCTCTGCAGATTAAAATAACCCAAAAGAACCATATACATCATGAAATACCATGAAAACATCTTGCTGAGAATAAAGATGATAAAATAAAATACACTTCAAATAATTTTATACTACTCTCTACTTGTTTTAACAGACAATTACTGAAGAGCATTCCTGATTAAAAAAACAAAACAAAACAAACAAACAGTGAGGGGCACCTGGGTGGCTCAGTGGGTTAAAGCCTCTGCCTTTGGTTCAGGTCATGATCTCAGGGTCCTGGGATCAAGCCCCACATCAGGCTCTCTGCTCAGCAGGGAGCCTGCTTCCCTTCCTCTCCCTCTGCCTACCTCTCTCCCTCCTTGTGATCTCTGCCTATCAAATAAATAAATAAAATCTTAAAAAAAAAAAAGTGAAAGATACAGAGGCTTTTCAGGATGTTAAAATAAATGTTGAGTACTAGACACACTTAATTTTGCATTGCACAGATATTCCTACTTCTAGAGAAACCCATATGAAGCACAAATTAAATATTTTCACTCAAATAAGACAATTTTTGAAATATTTATGAACTGTTGTATGTGTGCTTCATGTGTATCAATTAAAAGCTGATGAGTTACAAAATCAATTTAGTGATTCTGAGAAGGTCAAAATCAACCAAAAACATCAAACTAAAATATACAATTTTAAGTATGACTAATGTTAAAAAAAAAAAAAAAGAGAGAATGTGACAGGAGATACTGGAGTATAAGGTACACAGTCAGGGTAAATTCTCTTCAGTTATATATGTAAACATGTACAGGTACTGATCTTTGGTATAAAATGTATTCCTCCTATGGTTCATGGTCAAAATGTTTGATAAACACAACATCCAATCACTGGCTGCATGTCAACTCACCTTATTGTACCAGGCAGAAACAATGAGTTTTTCTTCATAATCACGGAATTTTGCTACTTTACATTCACTCTAGAAAAAGAAACAAGGACTATCAAGATCCCAGAAATAAAATGAAACTACCAAAAATGGAATCATTTTTCACTGTGCTCATTTAGAATTTAAAAAATGCACTGTGCGGCATAAAGCAGTCAAAATCTGAACAGAATCATGAAGAATGCACACACAATGCCCTTAAGAAAAGAGTAAGACCATGACTAGGAAATATTTATTTCAGAAATTTTGCTGGGAGAACAGATGTTCAACAACAAGAAGAAACTGATGATTCTCATGCTACTGTCCCTACCTCTAGAAAAGAAAGTAGCAACTGGCTTAAATGACAAAACAGAGCTGCACCTATGGAGGAGTGAAAATGAAGGAGAGAGGGGATATAGTAGAACATATCCCAGAAAATCCTTTAAAATCCCTATAAAGCTTAACACAAATTTTTCTCTCTTCATTCTTGGTGATCTGTATACTAGACTGCTTGTGGCCATGTTTGCATACTACCCTTGACATCCATGTCTTAATTCCTCGAATATAGCAAATATTGTAATTTCACTGAGCACTTGATACAACTGACTCATAAAAAGCTATAAACTAAACCATCAATGTTCCTACAGCAAGATGCTCATGTGCCTCCCCCATTTCTTGTATGCTTTCTGTATCACGAGCATCATGCTATAATATATATGATAGAAAACATTTTGCAAAGGAAACTACAACATGCCTAATCATAAAATCTACGAACATACAATTCCAGACTGAAGTACGTAACCCAGCTAGTAAAAATGATATCATCATTAGCACAAAAATAACTTTTAAAACTTAAAAGACTCAGCTAATTAATGTAAAGATGTCATCACTACCACAGCTGTGCATGATTAATAACCAATACTGCCACTTTAGTGCAAGGGCTTACTGGATTCTGTGAGCACTTTCTTCCCCTAGGAATTGCAGCTAAAGAGCTACTTAGGTTCAAGTGTTCAAGGAACAGGGAGAAGAAAAGAAAAAGAAAATCTGGTTAACTGAGTACAGTACCTTTTTTAAAAGGTGAGTTTGGTCCTTTTCCTTTCCCTTCCTCCCTTCTTTCTTTCATATTTTCTGAATGAACTCTAATCTGTATAATTTTAAAAGGAGCTAATATAGCAGAACTCTACTAGACACTAAGGGATATCCATACAATTGGCTGTTGTGGGGAAGAGAGATACAAAGCAGCAGAGTACATACACTTGCAGAGACCAATCTCACGGGCTAGCGAGACTCTAATAAACACAGAGTGCTAAAACATGACATCTCTAACTTCTGACCTCAACCAACCTCTTGTGAGACTTGATCATTTACAGCAGATATGTGACGGCAATTAATCACCAGGGTTACACAGGATAATTCAAAAGAAATGTGTTAATATGAAAATTTTACCTCTAGAATCTCAATTCTTCTCTCTTTCTCTGCCAACTGCTTTCTAAGTAGCATTATTTCAGCTGATGCTGGATTTAATTTGGGATCTAAAGTTTTTATTACCTGTTTAAAGAAAAAAATTTATATTTTACATTTACTTTATCTTATAAAGTACTGAAATATAGTATCATCATCTATAGTATCTCTGTAAATAAAGTGGTAAAATATCCAGAAAGTAAAATTATCCAGGTACTAACTATGGCTTATTTGGCAATTAAATTTGAAAAACATAAATAGCATTCCATAAAGGTCCGATGGTTATCCAACTTCAGTACAAAAATGGAAAGATCCCTCTCCCAAAATAAAATTTCCTTTCTCCAAGTCTTGGTACTCAGACAGTAATTTAGTGTTATTAAGCTTTGAGCATTAAGGTCTTGAAATAACACTTTCCATATTTATAATGTTGAGTATTTTTTTAATTAAGATGAATTTGATAATTATATGGGAACTTACTGATTGTACAAAGTATCAAAAAATTTCATAGAAACAATCTTTTCTACTACCATTACCTAGTTAAATGTAATTCAATACATAAGGATCAATATAATGGAAATTGGTGATTTTATCTGCAAACCAGAGGGTGGCTCAATCACATTTATGGAAATTACTAAAAGCTAGGTAAAAGACATTCAGTCAGAATGTTATTCAGAGACTCAACCAAACTATGTAGCCAGCAGTATAACAAAAAATTAACTCAGAAATATCAGGTGTACATCAGGAACAAACAAATTTCCAATAACAAGAGCATCGGTATGATGTAATTACAAATCTATTGACAAAGATTTAAAATGATCTAAAGACTTAGGAAGATTTCACCTATATTTATAGAGGTAAAGGAAAAAGACTAAAAGGTAGTATGTTAAACATTCTTGCAGGTCGTTCAAAGCAATTTGCTGAGTGCCAAATATGGGAGGCACTGTAGGGGACAGTGGGGATGTAGGAGACTTGGTATCTGCCCTCATAGAGGTCACATTATAAAAGCAGAGTTTAAATCATAATTTAACTACAAAGACACACTACAAAGACACTGCTTGTGACTAAGAGCATTTACACTTTTGCAGTTGAGAGAAACAGGATGGTGGCAGCACCTGACTGCATACGTGTAGCAGGGCTCTCTAGGTGGGTGGAGCTGGGTGCCTGCATTCTACCCACTGAAATGAGGGTGAAAGTGGTTCACGGCTCCCAGACCTGCCCCGTCATGAGTCTCCTCCAGTGCAGTCAAGGCTGGCCTCCCTAATCTACCAGCTGGACTATCTCCAGTGAGCTTGGGAACGCCATGTTCAAGGAGGCAAAGCCTCTGTCAGCTGGGGGTTCTGGCAGATTGCACAGAGCAGAGCCCCTCCCCCACTGAACAATGGGCTTCCTGTGATCAAGAAGTAACTTCTACCTTTAGGTAGTGAGGTTTAGCTATTGATGCAGTTACGATATACAACTTATAAAGCTTAAACATAAAAAGAACAAAAATACTAGCAACATTGTAAAGCTTCATCATATAATCCTTTTATTCAATAACTAGAAAAAATATATTAGCATTCTCTAAGAGAGAATACTTACAATTAATTAGGAAAATATCCAGTATTCATGGAATAGAAGATTTTATGAGAACAGTACTTACAGATATTTAAGTTTGAAATAAGGCAAAAAATATTAAGTCTGGTAAACATCAACTGAATAGTGCTTAACTGTCGCATCTAGATTGAAGACTAAAACTTTAAACGAGTCCGAAGAGCTAAATTTTCACAAAAGGCAAACTTTCACTTTAAGAGCTAACGCCTCCATACTTCTTAACAGTCATCTCCCCTAATGAGGTCACTCTAGTCCCTGCTGAAACTGTCCCAATAAAGCCCCATGTTTCTTTTACCTGATGCTCATGAGTGAGAGTGAGCATGAGTGAGACCCGCAAGGCGGCTGGGAGGGAACAAAGTGATGGGACCCAGAGACAGGAGGAACAGTCCCACAGACAGGACTGGCTAAGAAGAAAATGGGTCAGAAGATTTGGGCTCCAAAAGATTAGTCACTCACATTTCTTGCTTTCTCCAAGTACATTTTATATCTCTCCTCCATCGCTTTCATATCTTCATCTTTCTTCTGAAGAGCAGCTTCAAGTTCACTGATCTTTTGTGCTGTTATTGAAAAGGAAATGAAACATGACCGATTTAAAACACTCCCTTTTCACACAAAAATTCTATCATATTTTTTCTAAAGACTGATAAGAGAACTTAAAAGAGAAATGTTTATTTCTTCTTTGTAAGGAATTCTTATCTAAAACTTTTGAACTACAACCAATACATTCTTGATTAGTTCGTATTATTCTTTCTTAAAAAATATCTATAATCTGCTTTATCTAGCTATTTTTCAACTTTGTCTCCAGTGTTTCGATGAGCAAACACACTTTACAATGTAATCACAAACATCATTAGAAAATAAAGCATCCCTTCTACACAATGTTTAAAGGTTATTTTAATTTGATTATACATTATTTTATTTATATTTCCATAGTATTAATTCTACTATATTTTACAATGTTTGATACTCCTATATATCAATCAGTTCGTTTTATTAGATTTTTTTTTTTTTGCTTTAAGATTGGATCATTTATTGATTACTTAAATCACTAGAAAATTATCATGGTTCTTCTTTGCAATGTATGTATTTATGGAGTGTCCAGAAACCAGTACACAGTTCTTGCATCCTTCAACTAAAGAGGGCAAGTCCTTAGACGTAGTCTGATCCAGGTTTTTACAAATACCTACCGTTCTGGTTTACATCTGGCTGAAGATCTTCAATGAGTTCCTGTTTCTTCTGTAATTCTTCCTGGACCTCAGTTAGTTTTTCCCTAAGTAGTGGAAAGAGCATGGAGTTTTGGAAGCAAACAGACCTAAGAATGAAAACTGATCTCTGCCACATATCTGTGGAGTGTGGGCATATCACTTTCTGATCCTGAATCTCCTCACCTGGGAAATGGGAGTAATACCTGCCAAATATTATAGGGGTTACTGTGAGAAGGTAAGCTGCCTGGCACATGATAGGTGCTAAAAATGTTAATTTTTTCCCCTTGCCATCCTTGCTTCCTAAGAAAGTCAAAGGAAATATTTTACTGGTTAAACATCCCACATCACATAGTCAAGTTGTGACAGTTGTCTGCTTTGTAAACTCTTCAAATGACATTAATGATTGAAAAATGTAGGATCTGGGATCACTGGCAGGCAGGCTGAACATTTTAGAACATTGTTCTTTTCGCTTCTTGGTGGCAGTAATGAACCGTTCATTGCCATCAGGGGATTTTTCTTATAAATGAAATCAGAAAAGGACACTAACGTTAGAAGTTTTTAAAACCCTTCCCCTTTCATATTTGAAATGAAATATCAGTTTTACTTACATATGAGCTTCCAACTTCTGCTTTAGTTTGCTGGACTATAAAAATTAAAAAAAGTTGCTGTAAGATATCTATTGTGACAAAGATAAATTTTCCAGACATCAAAATCTCTTTACTTCCTTTTGAAGTATATTACTTAAAATTATAAATGTTTTAAAAATTTGTATTTCTAATAACATACTTGTAAAAACATAAAATTTTAGGTATTATTGACTTCAAAGGGAAAGGAAAGGAGGTTAGGATGAAAGAAGGATGAGTACAATAGTAAAAAGAAAAATGCTTCCTATTTCTTCATATTTCAATACCATGAAAATAAAATTTAAACTTGAAAGAAAAATAGCAAATGCAAGCTGAATGTGATATACTGAGGAGTATCAAACACTTAAAAATCATTATTTAAAACATAAATTTTAAGATTTTAGGCCTTTAATGAATAGACTTAAATAATTATCTTTATAATACAGCTTTATCATTACATATATAAGCACTTTAATATTAACATCAAAATGAAGTAAATTTTGTTAAAAAATAAAATTTAAAACATAAAACTTCCTCTTTAAAAAGGAGGACTTTAAATTGCAATACTGGTTCAAGATCCTCTACTGACTAGATAAATGAAGGGTTTAAAATATATAATCTGAAATATAACTCAGACACTAATACCTTTTAAAAAGAGAAACATAAAATCTTTTAAAAATTCTGCAATCCAAAAATGTACTCCCCCAAAATAGATCCCATTTTAAAAGTATTCCCTAGTGTGGCTTAGAAAAATATTTGTATTAGAGAGGTTACAATACCGTATATATGCACATACGAGATGCCGCCATGCATGAGACGATTTCTATTTTCCAAGCCCCCGGGGAAAAAAGAGAAAATCATATAAAGCATATAAAAGACAGAGAGGAAACACAACCCTTTCAGTCTTCTCCCTCATCTCTTCACCTACTCTTCATAACCATCTCCCCCGTCAACACAGGTACAACCACCTCACATTCTGTCTGCGTACACTGAGCCCTATCTTTTTGCTGTTAAATGCCTTCCTCCCTCCACTCTTACTTCTTTTCCCCCATTGCACACAGAGATCCAACTACAGACACACTGCTAGCTATACTCAGATTTGGGCTGTTCAATCTCTGCTGAGCCCTCTCATCTGCCTCCTAGAATGTTTGCCATCTAAGCCCATTAGAAATGGCAAGGCCCTAAGCCCGCATGCAAGGAGGGAAGAAATAAGGAATTACTGAAGTCTTCAAAACTGCATTAAGGTTTCTGTCCTCTGGAGGTTGGTGTGATCCACTTCTCCAATGCTCTTTAGTAGAAATCATTGTCTTACCCTCTCCTTCCTGTTAAGTTTTCCTCAATTCTGACCGCTGACTACACTTACTAGGCCTTTTCTCAAGCCTGAGAAAAGAGCTGTGAAGACCTCGCTTGCAGCATGCTCTCAATCAGGAATTCCTATGAATTAAGGTGTAGCTGTTGAAGTAAGACAGATAGAAATCACCTTCCAAGACGTACGATTAACGTACAGGTTCCAAGTTGGCAAAATCACTGCATCTTTATGCAGATATATACGGTATTCAAGGGCACCCCCAAAGATAAGGGTAGGACTTTCAAATACAGGACTAATTTGGGCATCAGGACCCATGGCGGAGAGTCCACACACAGCAAATTATCACAATGCTTAAGTCACTTACACTTTCTCCTTCAGCCTTGGAGCCTTGCTCTTGTAAAGACTTCTGGAGGTCCTCAATCTGCTGCTGCAATTCCCGGATACGCTCTCTGCTCAGCCTGTTGTAGGATGAATCATACATATTTACTTGTATTGAAAATCAACATAGTTATGGATCTATAAAGGTACACCTGTGCAATTTAACTCACAAAGTTTGCATTTCATAGCAATAACGAATGCCCAACAATTGTCAGTGGCTAGGTATTATAAAGAGTGTAAGTATAGTAGGCTACCAACAAGAAAATATTTTTTAGAAAGAAGACATTTTATCATGGAAGTACATATGCCCGCATTTAAAGATGTCAAATACTTACGTGCCAGCTGTAAAAGCACATCAACTCTGCACTGCCTTCACTGGTACAAAAAAAATCAGAAAACGATCTCAGTTTTCCTATACTTGTATCTTTAGTGAATGGGAACTAGGTTTCTTCTTCTTGTTTCAGATTTTATAGGCAGCCACGGACCCAGCTAGAGGTGAAGGATCAAACCAGGCCCTGACTCGTGCCTCCTGAATATCAGCTGAGTTGCGCTTGAGAAAGAGCCTGAGCTATGGACCCTAAGACTCGCTGACGTGACTGCCTGCATGTATTAAGAGGCAAAACTGGGTTGTACATTTAACTGTTACAAGATTACCTGTACTTGCACGGATTATAAATTGCACCATTGTAAGCTCATGAATTGCTAGTTAAAGATTAGCTAAGTAGACAAAAGTTACTGGCGTCAGAAGATCCGCTACCAGCGCTTGGGAAATGGGCTTCGTAAAAGCTTGAGGGGTTTCATGTGAATGTTACGTGTGTATGAGCAATCAACCGAAAATAGATACTTCCTTATAATTGTTTCTGTTAGCTATATAATGCCTCACAGCCTTGAATAAAATTGGCACTGCTTGGACATCATCCACTGTGTCCCTCCTGTCCTCCTTTCTTTACGAGTCTTATTCTTTCTCCATTCTCTTACCCTCTCGACCCTGCTCGTGTTGTCGCACCGGCCACGACAAGTGGCGCCCGAACAGGGACCTGAGCATGTACAAGAGGAACTCAAGTTTTTAGGTAAGTGGTTGCCGGTATTCAGGTAAGAGGAGCCCGGACTCTAAGGGTCACAAAAGGAGTACAATAATATGGGGCAGTCGCAGTCTACGGAAATGGTCTTCTTTATGACCGCTTTGCAGGCCCTTATGAAGCAGAAAGGGTCCAAGGTCTCTAAAAAGGCCTTGCAGCAAGTTTTCTATATAGTTTCAGAATTGTGCCCATGGTTCCCAAAGGAAGGAACTGTAAATTTGGATGCATAGCAAAGGGGACTCTGACTTTCTCTCTCTCTGTTCCTCCTAATAGACATGGGGGGCTTCTCCTTCACTCATTTCCCATGTTAATGGCTATAACTGGAGCCAACTGGGGTTAGTCTAACTCGAGACAGAGACTGGAAGGAATATTCCCAAGCAGTTTCGGGGAAGTTTCCCTGCCTAACCCCTCCCCCATTCCAAGTGGAGTGGGCCCAGGTGGAACGTAAATCAGTATTGGAACTAAGTTAAATTTGTTGGTTTAATTAAGATAGACGTGTCTTTGAAATTACAGCAGTAAATGTGAAGCTTTTATTCTGTCAAAGTTCACTGAAGGTCAAATAAGCTCGTGTTATTTGTTAAAATCTATTAGCAAAGAAATGACTAAACTGATGGTTAATTGTCTGTCTCAATGTTTTAATGGGTAATTGCTGAGATAGCTTTCAAAATCTTTAGTAACCTAAAAGTTTAAAGTTTTGGTTGGATGACAACTGGAATTAAATTATGGACATCTAGGTCTTAACCAAACAGGATAAAATGCTAAATCATTAATTACTAAACATAGGTTTGTACTTTTGATTTCTTACAGAAAAAAAATAAATTAAATCTGTTGGTAAACATGTTTTACACTTAACTGATTCATAAATTTGCCATCTAAAAAATTCTATTGTAACAGTTCACAATTGGTTAATACTTAGTCTTCACTAGAGATTAAGGTGTTTCTAAGAGTACAAAATTCTGCTAACTGTAAGACTGATACAAATAAAAAAAGCAACTCTATGGAAAACTAAATAATATGTAAGAAATATTTAAAAAAATGGAAATATATTTTATGAAAGATAAAAAATAATTTTGTCCTAAATAAGATGGTTGTTTTAAAAAAAATGGCTTGGGACAAAACCTGAATGCAAAAAAAAAAAAAAAAAAAAAAAGGTTGTAGAAGGTTTATGAAGGGAAACCTTCAGAAAAGGAGAAAAAGACCAGATGCTTGATCCTGTTTAAATAAAAAAGAAAGAAAAACAGCCCCCAAGGTGATTTAGCACTCTCCTAACATACCTCCACATAGATTATGCTTCCAAGTGAAAGGACCATTTGGCCTTGAGAGATTAGGAAAGCAGCCTGACCTTGAGGAACTGCAAAAACACCCCATTACCATCCCCCATTGCCTGTAACCATAGAAACTCACTCTTATTCCTAAAGAATGAAAGGGGAGACTGATCACCTCCCATTAGCCAGGAATACCCAGAGTGGGGGTATCCAGCCTGCTAAATCTGAAGAGTGCCTGACTGTGTGACTGTGTCTGTCCGGCTCCACTGCCTCGGCTACGGAGTCTGAGTGGGCTGCACCCTGAGTCTCGTGGGGCGTCATATGACATAACGGTCATCTTCTCCACGGAGTAGCCTGGTCCGGGGCTTATATGGACAGACCTTAGCTAAGACACTCCTAAGTTCCTACGAGGGATGCAAACAGGACAGCATCTAAAAGATCCCCCTCCCTTTGTCTGCGACATCATTCACGATGGGAGGGAAACCCAGTAAACCCACTATCTTAAGACTGTATGCTTAATAATAATAAAAAAGACAAGACACTGGTATAGAAAAGCTGGTTTTCTCTCTGTTTAAAAAGGACAAAGTTTTCTAAGGTTAATTGATCTGTTATGGTTTTCTCTTTGCCTGCCCAGAAAACCCAGTTTCTATGTTCTGTTTTATCAGGTGTTTAACATCCCTAATCATATTTAGGCATGTGTTTTAAAACTTTCTAAGGTTTTAGCAATTGTCGACAAGATTTAAATTATAAATGAGATCTCTTTGACTCATAAGGCTTTTCCTTGGTATACTAAATTACTCAGTAAATACTGCTAAACCAATAATAAACCTTGGGTTGCATTTGGGTAAGTGCTGTAACTACTCTAAGAGTTCTATACATTTCCTAAAGTTTTAATGTTTTGATAAGGTCATCACCTGGTAATTGAACCATACCTATTCTGAGTTTTTGTCATTTGTAATTGTTTTAATTCTCTTATAAATTCTGTCTTAGAGGAAATTCATATGGGAGACTTTCAGGACAAATACAGATATTTGATATACTTGAAAATCCTAAAACTGAAATGGGTAAGAATTTCCAGAACTAACTAAAGCTGCATTCACCAGATTTAGTAACATGGAACTAAATAAACTAAAAGATTATAGTGTTATGTCTCTTAATGTTTTGTCTTATTTTAAACATTGCTGGTTCTCTAATGTTTACTCTTCCAGACTAGGGATATTTTTTTTTTCTTAAGATATCTGTGACTTACAAAAATGTAAAAATATTTATTTGCAAACAAATCAGAGCATTCAACTTTTCTATCTGAACCCTCTGAAACCAAAAGGTCTCAATAAGTATTCTTTCTTTCATGGCAATCAATCATTTGCGTAAGTTCAATAAAAATTTGTTCTCCTTGTAACAGGACACCAAAAAAAAAAAAAAAAAAAAAAAAACAACTAAGGTGACTTTATAAAACCTGGAGCCATAAAGCCCTTTGAAACTGTTGGCCTGATACCTTGCTTACAGAGTTCCCAGTAGCCTCACCAGGTGAGTAAAGAGTATCACTTCCTGACAGGATACTTTGGGAACCCCAAAAAGAAAAATTCGCCCAAATCAACAGGTATTACAGACATGCCTGATGGCAAATACATGCCTTAACTTCTGGCCCGGAGAGGCTACTAAAGTTCAACCTACAGATTCCTTATAAAAAGTTCTAGCAAAACAGATTCTAAAATATCTATATGATCACACTCACTGTTCTTACTAAACTTATGTAAATAATTAGGCCAAGTTTGTTACAACTGGACATATAGAAATCTATAAGGAATCTCCTTATACAGAGGCTTTTTACCAAGGATACTACCCTACTAAGTCAGTACAAAGAACTAAGTTAAAAACTGTTCAATTAGCCCTGCAGATGTATTCTGAACCGTGCAATCTATACACAGACAGCCATTATGTGGCGCGAGCAGTCCCCTCTCTGCCACAGGCTTTATATGCTTACCAATGATGAGGAATTATATCATTTGTTTTCTAACATTCAGCAACTTCTGAGATCAAGACAAACTCCGATCTTTATTTCCCATATGCGGGCCCATACTAAATAACCAGGTCCTTTATCTAAAGGCAATGATATCGCGGATACGATTACTCATGCATATGTAATTGATGTCACTAATAAACAAATGACTATACAAAGTCACACTAAATTTTATCAGAATGTGTCGGCCCTACGCCGACAGTTTCAAATAACCAGAGAAAAGACTCATCAAATAGGCAAAAGCTGTCCTGCCTGTCCAATTCATTATCCATTACCCACATATTCGGTAAAACCTAGAGGATTGATGCCTAATCACTTATGGCAAATGGATGTAACACTTTTTCCCGCTTTTGGCCGTTTAAAATATATACATGTCTCTTCAGACACCTTTTCAGGATTTGTGCACACTACTGCACACTCAGGAGAAGCTTTTGGGTAAATGTATAAAATCACCTCTTTTCCACCTTCTCCCAAATGGAAACTCCTAAAGCCATTAAAACGGACAATACTCTGCATACGCTTCTAAGGCCTTTCAAAAATTCTACCAAGTTTTTCAAATTACACATTCAATGGGGATCCCTTATAATTCCCAAGGACAAGCTATTGTTAAAAGAGTTAATGGAATCCTCAAATCTTACCTCAAAAAATTAAAAGAGGGGGAGATACTATAGGGAACGGTGAAATATTCTCCTCATATGCATTTAAATTTAACTCTTTATGTTTTACATTTTTTGAATGTTGACGATATAGGTCGCACAGCAGCTGAACGCTTTTGGCATCCAGATTTCTGTCCTCTCCCTTATACTAGCTGGAAAGACCCCCTGACGGGCACTTGGAAGGGTTCTGATCCTGTCCTCCGCAGAGGACGCGGTTTTGTTTGTGTTTTTCCTCAGGATGAAGATACCCCGCACTGGCTTCCAGAAAGGTGGTGCCGAATCCTTGCCTCTCCACCAGAGGATGGCTCGCCTCACGCTGAACGGCCAAGGCAGATGGAGAAGGAGAAGACATCTCCCCCCCTACAACCAGGGCCTGATAAGGGATCTCCTGAACCAGGCCCTGGAAATAGCAAATCAAACCCAACCCAATGAAGCATTGATCACTATATTATTAACATCATTAGCTATGATTGGCCTCCCTCGTAGAGAGGCCACAGTTTATTAGGCATATTTGCCTAATCCACCCACTATAAGGCCTATCACTTGGGATGATCCCATTTCTCAGGTGTGTACTAATGGCACTAGTTATTTTGGGGAAAGTAGTGCTGATGGTATAGAATCTGCAGAGCATTTTATTAACTGGACAGGCTTAGCAGCTCAAGTACCCATATGCTTCCAGCTGCCCTCTTCTGGCTATGACCTCATCAAGGGACGTGTGATAGTGCAGTCTAGGTCCCATATAGTTACTTATCTTGTAAGAGATATGGTAAGTGGGGTTAATTGGTCTAATCCTGTGATAGGGGTGGAAAAATGGATTGTTTATGGAGTCGGGGGAAATAAGACTCCTAATGTCCCTCAGAAAGGTATGCGCCCTCCTGGTTACCCCTATTGCCCTCAGTGGTTGAATTATCCCTACCCAGGCCCTCTTTGGACGACTTGTCTCCAAAAAAGGCCTATCATCATTTCTCCTCACGGCGTTCCTCATTTCTCTATTACGGATTGGTCAAGGAAGACTGG